CTGAATTCCTTAAGGGTTCCAATAGTAATTAAGAGGAAAGAACATACGTTCAAGGGCAGCCCAGGTGCTCTGTTCCTGAACAACTTCATCATTTGAGGACAAGAACACAAGCAAAAAATGCAACAGGACAGATTAAGGATTACAAGCCTTCAGGACATGGGAGTGGCAGCTGGCTAGCATGGCTCCTTTTTGTTCTCACTAGAAATGTCTCCTATATGAAATACGACAGAGCTTTAAAGGAGTCAGAGCAGAAGTAACACAGGAGTCAGATGTAGTAAGGAAAGATGGAAAGAACAAACAAAATCCAGTGCCCAGACTTAAGTCTGTTCAAGAAGTAGAACAGGCTTGATCCAGTCTTACGTGCAGACCACAAAGGAAACAAGTAAAAACTCGAGAAAGCCAGTGGATGGAAGCAAACATTGAAGAACTAGTGCTGGATAAAATTTAAAAATAAAAAAAACTCCAGAGAAGCATCCAGCCGAAGGGTAAGAAAGTGCACTGAGCTAAAGGAGGCCCTCATGTGTGGGCCGTAAGAACGTTACAGAGCACCTCAGTGTCAGAGTACCCCAGTGTCAGAATACCTCAGAGTACCTCAGCATCAGAGTGCCTCACCATCAGAGTACCTTAGCCTCAGAGTACTTCAGCGTCAGAGTACTTCAGCGTCAGAGTACCTCAGCCTCAGATTACTTCAGCGTCAGAGTGCTGCAGTGTCAGAGTATCTCAGCATCAGAGTGCCTCAGCATCATGCAGTGTCCTCATCTCACGACCTGTGGCCGTCAGAATACATAGAGGAAATGTAAAAGCTGGAACAAGGCACCCAGAAGTGGTATAGCTGGATCTTCAGGCAGAGCTATTTTTATTGCATTTACTTGTGTGTGTGTGTGTGTGTGTGTGTGTGTGTGTGTGTGTGTGTGTGTGTAGGTCAGAGGACAACTTTCTGGAGTCAGTTCTTCCTTCTACCAAGAGGTCCCAAGGATTGAACTCAAGTTTTCAGGCTTGATGGCAGGTAGCTTTATGGGATTGGCCATCTTGCCAGCCCCAAAGTCCTATTCTTTTTTTTTTTTTTGGTTTTTCAAGACAGGGTTTCTCTATATAGCCCTGGCTGTCCTGGAACTCTGTAGACCAGGCTGGCCTCGAACTCAGATATCCGCCTGCCTCTGCCTCCCAAGTGCTGGGATTAAAGGCGTGCGCCACCACTGCCCGGCCTCCAAAGTCCTATTCTTTTCTTGACAGTCTTTGTGCTAGAGAATGCTTTGGGATGGTAATCATTCTAGGAAAAGAATGGCAGCATAAGGAAATTACGACTAAACTCTCCAGAGCCTTGGGTGATGATCAATCCCTATCAGGGCAGGAACAGTAACCCATGTCCAAGCAGAAACACTTTTATCATGTTTTAAAAGAACTGTCATAATTATCAGCATGAAAGAAAAATTCTTCCTGCTGCTGCGTCTGTGTTCCACAACCACACGGCATCACACGACTCCACACACTCCATCGCTGAGCCACTTTCTCTCCATCCAAGGTCCATGGCACCTATAGCTAGGAATTAACTTCTTGTCCACTGTTATGGTCTAATTCTGTCAGAAATTGTCTTGACATAACTCCCACAGGAGTTAACAACCACTTTGTGATCTTGAGGGCTGCCTCATAGTAAAAGTCTTTTTAATTTTTTTTAAACTTTATTAAATAAGATGACCCCGTAGCAGTCATCAGTATACTAATTTTAATAAGATTTTTTAAAATTATGTATGTTTGTGGGTTTATGCATATAAGTGCAGTGCTTACAGAGGTCAGAAGTAGGCATCAGATCCTGTGGAGCTAGAATTATGGGTTGTTATGAGCACTTGATGTGTGTTCTGGAAACCAAACCTGAATTGTCAGCAAGAGCATTAGGTGCTCTAACCAATGAACAACCTCTCCAGCCCCTATGGTAATGTATAAAGTAACAAACCACAATGTTCTAGTCACTTGATGACAGCAAGATCGCTATAGATTTGACAGTTCATTTCTTCTGATGCTGAATAATATTCCATTGCCAGAATATACCACAGTTTATCCATTTATATCTCTGTTGCTTCCAAGGTTTTGCAGTTATGCATAAAACATCACATATAAATTTTTGTGTAGATGCAAGTATCCTACTCGTTGTGTAAATACCAAGGCATGCAGTTGCCAGATTATAAGAGTGAGTTTTGTTTTGCAAGAAACTGCCAATCTGTCTTTCTTCACAAGTGGCTGTAGCATCCCCACCAGCAGTGAGTGTTCACTCAGCCCTTCCCCGCCCATACTTGGTGTTGTCAGTGTCTTGGATCCTGGCCATTCCTGGCACAGAATGATATCTCATAGCTGTTTTAATCTCATGATGTAGAATGTTGGGCGTGTTTTCACATGTACAGTTGAGCAGGCACCACAGCAAAGAGGCACATTGGTACTAAGTTTTTGCCCTTTAAAAAGACTTACTCTTTGAGAATCATATATATAATGTAATTTGATAACACACACACACACACACTTCCTCTGAACTCCTTCCTTTCAACAAGTTCCCTCCAGCTTTGTGTTTTGTCTTAGAGAGCCACTGAGCTTACCGATAGCGGCTTATGTGACGATGGCTGTGGGGTTATTGTGGGAGCATAAGCAACTTGCCAGTGGCTATAGCACAGAGGAATAATGAAATACCCACAACCATCAGCTGCCAGGAGCCCCTCAGGGTAGAGGTGGGACCTCAGGAGCCTGCTCCCACGTACTCACGATGTGGTGTTGAAAGCCCCATCTTGGGTGTGTTTTCTTCAGGTAGCTGTAGCATGTCAGTCTGTGCATGCAATGGCGGTGTCATTCTGTAACACCCACCTCACCCATAAGAAGCTTCTCTGACCAAGGCTGAGAGCAGCACTGGTTTGTGACTGTAAACATAAATTTTAAGAATGTAGTTTGACAATATGTCCGTTTAGCAAAACAACAGTGACAGGTTTTCCCATAGGTTTTGCCCATTTTTAGAACATGGGTTTTAAGGGAATTTTATATATTTGGAGTATCATTCCTTTATCAAAAGTATATATGAAATAATTACATATTAATATAAATATGAAATAAAACCCTCAGATCAGCAACATTAATATTTTAAGTTTGATGGGCAGTTGACCCACATGTATATTCTTGGCAAGAATTCCATGAGTGCACGGAAATAGGGCATCCGGGCACAAAGCTCGGATCTTGTAAAGTCTTAGTAAGATATATAGCTACCAGTGGGAGGAGGGTGGGCAAATGTAAACTTCTAGCCTCCTTTCCCACTGGATCAGAGGTCAGACAATCTTCTCAGGCCGCTGGCCCTGAACCAGGGATCAGGACTTAGCGCCTGTCCTTCTGGTGACTGGTTGGTAATATGGCATCTTCTCTGGAGGCCTGGCATTGCTGGCCATCACTGCCAAGGACTGACTCTCGCATGGGTAGCCACTAGGAAAATAAAGAAAGAGTAAATGTGAACATAGTTGCAGTAGCTAGCTGTCACCAAAATGGTACAGAAGTGAAATTCTTAAGCTGGGCTCAGGAGGAACATGGGATTTGTACTGGTACAAAATTGTATGTCATGTGAAGACAACAGATGCACCGTCGTTAAACATTTATTCACTGATTTTCACGAATCAGAAGTGATGACCCCGAGGATTCCCCACCCACCCTGTCAGCTGCTACATGGCCATGTCAGCCAGGCAGGATTTCACCCCCTACCACAAAATTCACTAAATTCTTTTAGTGAATTCTTAGAGCCTACCACAGCTATAGAAAACTAAATTTAAACCCCATCCTGTCACTATAAGGAAAATATAAAATACTCAAATTCTAATTCCACTCTTCCCTGTATTTTTATATTTCTAAGACAGAGTGTGTTTTAAAATCTGGTTTGCATTCCCAAAGCTCCTTTAGCATAGATCCTGATGTGACTGCAGTCAAGGGCTCTCATAAGCATGTGCCTTCCTTAGGACATTAGAGTTTGTCTTAGTCAGTTAGGGTTTCTGTTACTGTGATGAAGCACCATAACCAGAAGCAACATGCAGAGAAGAGGGTTTGTGTGGCTTATACTTCTACATCATTAAGACAGGAACTCAAACAAGGCAGGAACCTGGAGGCAGGAGCTGATGCTGAGGCCATGGAGGGGTGCTACTTACTGGCTTGCTTTCCATGGCTTGCTCAGCCTGCTTTTTACTAGCCCAGGGATGGCCCCACCCATAATGGGCTGGGCCCTCCCCAGTCAATCACTAAGAAGAGGCCCTGCAGACTGTCTACAGCCTCGTCTTACAGAAGCATTTGTGTAGGTCTCTTCCTCTCAGATGGCTTTAGCATGTGTCAGGCTGACATAAAACTATCCAGCACAGAGTTCTTTTCCTTTACCTGTCTGCTTGAGGTACCTGGCAGCGTTGTAAGTGACCATGGCAAAGCATGTTGTGGCAGATCCTTCCAAACAATTCAAATGAATCCGGATCTAGAAATCAGAGAACCATGTGTGGCACAGACTACTCCATCCTCCCTGGCTGTTTCAGTTTGCACACAAAGTCTCGGGAACTCGAGTAGCAAAATTCCCATCCAGAAGGGAGATTCTCAGAAGATCAGCTCACAGACTGTCACTGTTAACAAGTTCAAGCTGATGATTTTGTTACCTAATAAATTTTCAGGGATCACTGTGACAGAAAATCCATAAGAAATACGTCATCTTTACATTTCCAGACATTGAACTTTCCCTTGGGGTTCATGTGGACACTGTCTTCCTGTTCATGTGCCCTCTGTGCAAGTTCTTTGTATTGTTCCATGTGTTAAAACAATTACACCTGAGGAACCACACACTGAAGGCCTTGCTTAAGAGCAGAGCAGAGACCATGTGAGCACATTCTTGCAGAGACCTCCCTGATAGGATCCCAGTGTGTTTCCTGTTACGCATGCAAGAAAGTGTGTCAAAGAACTGTAGCACTAAGCATGTAAAGATTCATGTGTGTCTGTTTGTGACATTGCAGGCTAAAGGCAAAGAAAGACAGTGGCTAAGACACCAAGCTACTGGAGAACTTGACGATGCCAAGATCATTGATGGGCTGGCTGGAGAAAAGGCCATCTACAAACGTCGGGGTGATCTGGAACCCCAGGTAAATAATGGGGAGCTCTGAGCCTCAGACCCACATAGATCAGCCTTCTGTAGAAAGTTCATGAGTTGTGTCAAAATACCGTTAACCCAAAATATGCAAGTACAGAAAGCATTATGGCAGGCAGATAATTTTTTTAAAAAGTCTCAAGACATAGAACACATGCACAAAATAGAATAATATTAAGAATAGTCAATGCAAGAGCCAAGCATGGTGATGTGTTCTTCTAATCCTGACCTCAAGAGTCAGAGAGATTGAGACCAGCCTGATCTACAAAGTGAGTTCCAGGACAGCCAGGGCTACATAAAGATACCCTTTCTCAAAACAACAACAAAATCAACACAAAGGTAGGGTGAGCTTTAAGCAAATCTAGAGGAGTTAACAGCAGGGTTCAAACTATGACCTAAGGTTCAACTAGGCAAAGCAAGGGAATAAATACTAAAATACGGAAGGTGCTAGTTTATAGAGCAGAAAAGGGTAGTTTATGATGCTATAGTCTTCAGTGGAGGGGAAGCCAACCTTCCTACCCTAGTCCAGCCACCTCAGAGAAGAAACCAAGAACAAACCCTGACCACCAGCCCTGCATCCGCCAGTAGCCAGAAAGCCAGTAGCCAAGAGCTACCTATGCGGTCACCTCTGGGTCCATCCACTCGCTAGCTGCAGAGTGGGTAGTCTGCAGGTGTGGGAATGGAAGACGCTCTGCTGCTTATGAATTCCAGAGGATTCAAGTGAGAGAACCAGCAATCTTACTGGTTTCCTACTCTTGGAACTGTAACAATCTGTGTCCATCACATGCCTTTAGTTTTTAGGAAACAAGGAATTCTCTCTTAAGTTATACTAATTGTAGTAAGTATTTACCAGACTGTGGCAACACGGTCAACTATTGAATCTGAGTGAACTTTGGGGTTTCCTATTGTCCTGAATAATCAAAACTGGTAAGTAGGCACTTGGAGCAGGGGCGCAGTGAGCGAGGGAGAGCAGGGGCACAGTGAGTGAGGGAGAGCCAGAGCCCACACGCTGTAATGTTTACTCAGAGTGGATCTGGTGGTAATTTGGGAGTTCTTGTTTCTGTGTCGTTGCCATGAGTCAACAGCTGCTTTCTCTACTGACTCACTGTGGTCAGCAAGTGTTTGGACACATCTGTGAGTCAGTCATGCACATGTGTGTGCCATGCTGCTTCTAATCAGGGCACACTCAACACGGTTTAAAAGGAATATAGAAAATTTGCTTCCCACTATTATTCTCTAAACATCCATGATATCTTAAATTATTTATGTATCTTGTATATGTACATGTATGTATATGTGTGTATGTGTGCTCATATACACACACGCACACGCACACACACACACACACACACGGGAAGGGGACATGCATGCCACAGCAGGTGTACAGCAGTCTGAGGACAGCTTGCAGGAGTCAGTTCTCTCCTTCCCCCATGTAGTCCTGGGAATGGAACTCAGGTTGTCTGGCTTCATGGCAAGCCCCTTACCCACCAAGCCATCTCATGAGCCATCCTACCACCTTCTACAGTGTTTTCTTGAAATTATTAGTTCTGCCTATCATTTTTCATGCATGCCAGCAAGTATATAATAATAGAATAATCTGGAATTTTTCTTATTTAATGTTACTGACAATTTAAAAAAAAATGTGCATTGGCAGATCTGGGTCCCAAGCTGATCTCTTAAGATTTCACATTTTAATCAGTAATTTTTGTCAGATAGCAGCTCAGTGCCACTTTAACTGCCAAGAAAAGAAAAAAGTTCACCAACCAGAAGAGAAGCCAAAGACTCTAAAGAGTCAAGGCGTTCTGAAAATGCTTACATTCTTGGCCAGACCCCCTCACATAACCAGGTTTTAGCAGTCTGGCATTTCTTCAACCTAGGTGAAAAATGGCCTCCACGGCCTTCAAGTTGACTGTGTAATAGAACAAACGAGGCTTCCCTCCAGCCACACGCCCCAGGGGCACTGACACACAGCAAGGAACGGAGAGCTATTTCTAAAATGCATCATCTTTAAGTTGTCAGCCTCCAGACGGTGGCTTTACCACATTCCAGAGGAAACTCTTTTCCACGTGCTCCTGACAGCCAGTCTGGCATCTGTCTACTAGAGTACAGTCATCTCCTCTACCCTCTGGGACAGCCCCGTGCAGGCCTGAGCCTGGGTCACATCTACCCACCTTGGGCTGACACTACAGAGCCTGGGCGAGAACCAGCTGACCATGGTTTTCTGCCTTTCCTCCCTCAGCCGGGCAGCCCACAGCAGAAGCCCAAGCGCCTGCGCCTTGTGGTGGATGTCTCGGGAAGTATGTACCGCTTCAACGGGGTGGATCACCGACTAGAGCGCTCAATGGAGGCAGTGTGCATGGTCATGGAAGCCTTCGAGAACTACGAGGAGAAATTCAAGGTACTGGCAAGAGCTGGGCATCTAGAGCTTCATCGATCACCTAGGGTCAGTACTGGAAAGACGGATACAGACTCCACCTGGAGCACCAGGCCCCAGCAGGGAACATGGCCGCTGCCACAGTGTTCCAATAGCAACATAATTGAAAGGCCCAATAACCTCTAGTTCCCAAAGAGAAAAGCACTGTAACATACAAGTTGTGTGATGTTAAACCACAGAGTTTCCTGGAAACACTGAAGCCTGTTCTCATTTTCCTGGGCATCCCCATCTAGTGCCTCAGAGCACTGACATCCTGTGACCAGCTATGGTCTGCTCAGAGCATCCTGTGCTGTGAGTCCCTTTCCCTTTCCACAGGAACAGTGAGCAGACAATAATATACATCCTCAGCTGACGTGACGGTTCACGAGAGGAAGCTGCCTTCTGTTCAAACCATTTCCAGCTTGTTACTGTGCAGTTTGCTATCATCCCCCACCCCAGAGGTCTGAGGATAGGGAAGGAAATTCCCATTCTATCATGTTGCCAGCCAATAGGAGCCAACTCATCTGCTTGTGATTGTCCATAGAAAACACAGGCATCACAGCAGATAACCTGACCACCAACACAGGCCAGAAAGACAGGGTGTGTACAGACATTGTGAAGGACACACAGCGTAAGCATGCGAACTCTAGATTCTGTACTGGATAAAACAACCCTTAAGGAACAGACTGTCTCAAATCCATCACCATTTAAGTTGGCACCCCACTCTACCTGAAGACTGCGTCCCATGCATGGCTCTGTATTATGCAAAAACAGGAGATGCTGGCTCTCCCGGGGTTCCTGTACACATCCCTGGGAGAGTGGCCTTTCAGAGCTCCCTGTGAGGAATGAGCAGCATCCAGCCGTGACTACTGTGCGGCTGCGAGGCTCTGCGCAGTACAGGGGGTAAATGCATAGAACACACAGCTGAGCGTGAGAAAGTACTCTGCTTCCTGTCACCACTGCAACGCTATCCCCCGTGGCCACAGAAACCTGTGGAACTCTGTAAGAGTCCCTCTTGGTCTATTGTAGTTGCCAGAATCCCAGAGCCCCAGTCAAAGCCTCACTCTGACAGGGTGAGGACAGGACATGGGGAAATCTGGGAAGCTTCCGAGTAGCATTGCACAGCTTGTAAGACACAGCACTTGCTCCTGTGGGAGCCAGCGGTGATCAGCCTTTTAGAGCACACTCCTGCTGGGGCAGACAAAGCAGCAGGCTCGCTCCCTCTGCATTGAGAAGGCCATTCAGCAGTTCCATCTCTTGACCTTCCTGGACCTCAGATGTGATTGCATCTGGATTTTTTTTTAAAGAGAAAATGTTTATTTAAACCATTTTGACCAATGGGTGGCTAGACGGCCATGGGTCAGCATAAATAACCACATCTCGTCTAATGTTCAAAATCATTTGGGTTTGAAACTGCCCCCTCATAAGCTCTTTTCCGGCCTTCCCTCCGTCATATTGGAAACTGTCATATTGCCATCAGCCCTACCACACATCTTGAGAGTTGAATGGCTACATTCTCTGCTAGGGCTTCCCAGACCCCCTCAGTAGAGGACAGAAGAGTAATGCAGCCCCGTAGTCCATGAGAGCTTCTCCTGCTTCTAATTAGGGTACATGCAGGTACATGGCTGCAAAGGTGCCCCTTGAGGGTACGTGAGGAGTAGGCACACACAGTACAAAGGAGGAAGAGTGGGACTGAGGCTTGCTCTCTCAGACTCCAGCTGCACTCATGCATTTTGGTCTCTTTTTAGAAATACTTGATATTCCTTATGTCATCATTATATTATTCCCAGCCACCTAATCTGCCCATGTGTTCAATTTCTTGTTTATGAAAGAAGAATAAGGTCCAGCAGTAACTACTGAGGGGCCATAAGTTACCTGGAAAATATAAAATAATGACTCCTGAGAAGATAATGATGGTTTGCAGAGCATCCAGCGTGGCATCACTCAGTGTCTTTGGGGAGTGGCAGTGTGATCTATAGCTCCTGCCTGAGTTCCAGACAGTCCTTAATTCAGTCTTCCTGCAGTTAGCCCTGGACTCCACATGTGCTCTGCAGCCTTCAGAAGTGCCTGCTGGTGTGGTGGTCTGCACACTGCCCGTCCCTCATGGCACCTGCTCATGTTGTGTTTGGCTTGTGTTGTGCTGTCTTCTGGGTCATTACAGTCTGGAAGGGAGGCTCACTTACAGTCCTCACCACCACTTTCTCCCACGTTAGCACAACCCATGCCAAACCACAGGGACCCTCAAGCCTGAGAGTTACTGAGACGGAAACCTAATTCACCAGCATGACATTTGCTAAGCCTCTTGGAGTCTTTAAAGTGCCTCAGAGTGTTCAGCCACCTGACTTCACATATTCCCAGAACAGCACAACTTACAGCCAGCATCAACTCCTCCAAGCTGGAGGCCAGCACCATCCCTGCTGGTCACACAGCACTTGGGCAGGATGCTAACGATTATGTGAAGTGAGATTCAGTCAGGGAGCATCTCCTCCACTTCATTCCTGTTTGTTCTTTTCTCCAAGCTCCTGGGAGTCGTCAGTGTCATCTTAAAATAGACTTTCTTTTCAAAAGCTCTTGATGCCTTGACAGTTTTTTCCAAAACTGTTTTCCACTAAACATTCAAACAATGGTACCAGAAAATGGGTTTATTCTCTCACTCAGAAATTCGGCTTTGGAAAGACACTAATGTAAAATGCTTTATTGTATTGTTTTCATAAAGGTGTGTAAGTCAGGCAAACAGTGTGAATGAAGCTTGTGGGGAGCTGGTGGGGTTAGAGCACCCCACTCTTCAGCACTATCCAAATAGTTCCACTGACGCTGTGCAATGTTACATAACGTGGACTTTGTATAGTTTATTCCATTGCCACGAGGATTCCATTGCTAAGAAGGAGTTGGGGATGCAGCTTTGGTGGTAAAGAGTATGACAAACGCCATGACCAACAGCCTTAGGGAGTAAAGGCGAATGTGGCTTACATTTCTCAGTCACTAGTCACAGAGGACAGTCAGGGCAGACTCCGGAAGGAATGCTCCTCACTGACCTAGCCTCGGCTTTCCTGTACACCCCAGGTCCGCCTGTCTAGGTGTAGAGCCATCTACAGTGGGCAGGGTCCTCTCCCCTCAGTCAGGACAATGTCTCACAGACATGACCCCAGGCCAGGCTGATCTAGGCAGTTCTTCAGCAGAGATTCTCTCTTCCTAGGTTAACAATAAATTCTAACCTTAGCTTATGCGGGGCCCTAGATTTTATCCTCAATAGTGCAAAAACTGAAGATGGAAAAGAAACCCATTTTTCTAGAACTGTACTGAACTCTTGCTTCTCACCAACTCCAAGGACTTTCCCTCTGTAGATGGTGTTGTGGGTCCTCACATCACACGTATGAAACACTCCCCTCAACAGACAAGACACAATACATGTGTGTTCCTCAAACTCCCAGAAACCGGCTTTTCATTCCATTAAAGTGTCAGAACCTTGGGTCTGGGCAGTATTTTCACCAGCCTCTTTCTACAGATAAGAAAGCCAAGGTTCAAAGAGGTTAAATACTTGGGCCAAGGTCACACTGCTAACTGTGAAATGCCAGGGCTTGTGACCCCACCCCCACCCCACTGGAGAGCTTTCTTACTTGCTCTGTCCTGTTTCTTGGATCTGTTTTACATATGCCCAAACTTATGACAAATCAGTATTTTCAAAAATTCATTCAAAAGTAAAAGCATTTTATTATTATCTCCTACTCTTAATATGCTGCCACACAGAGGTGATGTAATAGACACGGGTTCTTTGAGACCTTAGTCAGGAAGACTACATTACTTCCCAGAAGGCTATAGAAAGATATGACTCACAGAGGCACACTTAGCTGAGTGTCTGTAATTACTCCTTTCCCAGTGCCTTAAGAATGTTCTTTGAGTTTAAATATGGAGACCAGTCATCTTATTAGGCTTAGACTTTGAATATATTTGTACTATTACCCAGAGATAGGACTCCCCCAAAAACCCCACAGAGTTTGCTGAGACCATCAGAATTGACTCAGTAACTGATGTAGGAATATTAGCCATGAAAACAAAAACTTTAAGAATAGATGTAGGACTAGCTTGAGGATTCCCTAGTTTTCTGTAGTAACTTGAATTAATGGATGAGTTTAGAGACAACACTAAATCTCTGTCTTAGGAAGGCTGCGGCCTCTCCGAATATCCGTGTCAGCACCTAGAGCAGAGCTGGTGCAGGGACTCTAAGATGAGCCTTCTGAAGATGCTGGGCATGTGAGGACAGCAAAGCAAGTACAGACCATCTTCATCACTGAATGGACTGCGGTATCCACCACCCCTCCATGACCCTGGGAAGGGGTCAGACAGATATCCCTCTTTGTCAGAGAGGAGGAGTGGTTTACAAGCAGGTACCATTAGAGGCCATCTAAACTAGCACCACTGGCAAGGCAGGAAGGCAGGTTTGAAAAGTTAAGCACCTTGCTCTAAATCAAAAAACGTTTTATGTCCAAGCCATGTCACACCTTGAACCCCAGGGCTCTGGAAGTACCTCCCTTGACCTATTCAACCACTCATTCACTAACTCCTGCTGGCCATAGCACTGCCATTTTAGAACACAGAATTCACATGTCAGCATTCACAACAGCCTCAGATATCACTGTGTACCAAGCTATAATCAGAAGCCTAATAAAGCATAGCCTATACCCTAACCACAACTTGATGATCCTCCCTAACAGAACTCGAAGCCTCAGTCATGTTCACAAATGTGCCAATAGCTCTGTGTTGTGCTTTAAATTCCTTCTGGATGGTAACGTTCTCTCTTGATTGAGACTCTGGTTTGTTTTTGTTATACCTCCCTCTAAAGGAATGAGGTTTTCAAAACAAACCCAGCAAAAGTGGGGTCTAAACAAATTGTAAAGCAAAGAAGCATTAGAGAGAGCCTCTATGAGGGTTTCAGCATAGCTGTCATTTCATATTTATGCATTTCATAAGCATATTTATACTTAGTACAAAACTCCACAAAGATTTCCAGGACACCTTGCAAGCCACGTAGAAAAATGACAGCCTAGACGGTGGGTGGTTGACAGGGACAAGGAGGCTCTTGTTTACTGACTCGGCCTGTCCTGCTGATTACATGAGGTCCTGGCATGGCCCAGCTTGGGTGACTATCGGACTTAAGAGTTAGAGAGTCCAGCTGGCTGTGATGCCGCTCTCCCGTTATCCTAGCGCTGAGTGGCTGAGGCAGGAGGATCATGAGTTTGAAGCCACTTTGGGCTATATAATCTCATGCAAATAATAACAAAGTTAGTTTATGTATGTTTTTCTTGAACTAAGGCAGGTTTAAGGATAAGTGAATTACTGTTTTTAAACACATTGAGAAACACGGGTGAAGGCTTACCTGGTCATGTCCATTTATCATCTGATAAATCAGAATCCCAATCACACTTTAAAGGCAGGGAAAGCTGAGTCACTCATAGTCCTCTTACCCAAGTGCAGCATGGGAGTCTGCCTCTTCCCTCTGTGTAAGCCTCTCTTTAATATATACTTCAGCACATCATGAAAGCAACCTGGTGGTACAAGCTATGTCCAGCTACTCAGGCAGGAGGTTTGCAGGTTCAAGAATCACCTAGATACATAGTGAGTTCAAGGCTAGCCTAGAAGACTTAGTAAGACCCTCTCTCTAAAAGAGTTCTGGAGATAAAGCATTTGCCTAGCACATTTGAGGCCCTGGGTTCAATCCCCAGTAACACAAAAAAAAAGAGGTGGGGGAAGGGAGCCTGAGAAGCTTATACTAATCCCTCAGCCCTCCTAGAAGGTTCCTCTGTCCAAGCCCTTACAGGGGAGGTACACGTGGACCTAAGGGCCGGGCCGTCTTACAACTTTTAACTATCCTGATGAATGGCCCTCCTTTGCTCTCTGGTCCTTTGTAGGCCTTTCTTAGGTCTGCCTTCCTAGGGAAGACTCAGCTGGTATAAGCATATCACGATCTGAAGGGCGGCAAAACAGGACCATAGGCAAAACCTCCCTACACTGCCGTGTTCTACTAGCTTCAAGAAGGCCACACACTGATAATTCGATTCTGCCTTTGAAGGTCCTTAAGATATAAAATTTTCAAAGTAGGCAATAACGTGTTTAACCTGTAACCAGGTTTATAGGTTTCAGAGGTGTAAATATTCTGTGTAGTCCTCTGGTTGTGTCCTCCTCCTGTGGGCACATCCACAGTGGAGTTCAACTTTCCCAGAGAGCCCCGCCTACTTCCTGTTTAAATGGGTGGGGCCACTTTCACCAGGAATGTTTCTACTTCCCATTTCAGACGTGACAGCCTCGATTAAGTTATGTTGTATTTGTCATCTGGCTTATGAAAAGTAGCGTTCTGGTTTCCAGATTGTAAAAGAATGTAGCCCATACACAAAAGGCAAGCTGCTTTTTACCCCAAGTTGATTGCAAGCTCTCTGAGAGCATCTCTACAGTAAACATGCACAGAAACTAACAGTGCAGAGATCACGAGAGAACCTACCATCTGCAAAGGTACAGATGGGCAAAGGCTGGCTTGCCTCCTCCCATAACACCCAGTGTGGGTGTGCAGGAGGGTTCGGAGAAGAGCTGTTGGTTACTAGTGGATTGACAGTATCCCAAATGTTCCCTGAAGTCTCCACCCCTAAGCATACACTATTTTCCTTGCAGATTCCTCAGTTTCCCCAGTGTCCCAGCCTTCATGTGATTACAAAATGTCTCTAATAGAGGTGGGAGGATTCAGAGAGACCGGCTCGCCCAGATAATTTACCTCTGGCTGCTTTTCGGATTTTGTAGCAGGACCTGACTCTGACACTGGGCTCCTCTCAGCAGTCAGTACTTCGTGTGCTCAGGAGATAGGGAGTTAAAAGGTGCTTCCTAAATTGAAAGCTACATGCCATATGTTAATAAGTGGAAAAGCAGATTATTCAGTCACAGGGTCAATATCAGCCAAAGTTATGCTGATGCTAACGTGTTTGCTGTATCTCTTCAGCTTGACATGTCTGTCAGAAGGCACTAAATGCCTGAGAGCTTCTATCATCACATGTCTTCAGAGCTTAACCTGAACATAATTGTGGATAATTTTCGCCTTCTCTGTACTTTAATTTCTTTGGTATGTTTTACCTTTAGAAACAGAAGGAAGCTAGAAATAGTTTTTCTCTGGGGAAAAGTCTGCTTCGGGATGAGCTTGTTGGTAGAATTGAGTTGCTTGGAATGGTGACAGAGGTCCCTAATTCCCCGCTGGCTCTCAGCTTCTGGAGGCCATGGACACCTTGGCCTCCTCCATCTGCATGATAGTTAACTCCCTTGTCAGATCTCCCTGATGCTTCAAATCTCTCTTCCCCTTCTATCAGCCTTTCAAAGGAGCTCTGTGATTAGAGTTGGGCCCACTAGATAATTTCTCTCTTGATTAACTCACAGTCAAGCAAACTTAATTACATTGGCAGAATCCTTTTTGATAATGTAATCACATGTGATATCCCGTTCTGCTTTCCCGCCGTGACCACAGTTATGGGAAGAGTGTAGAGAGCAGGCACGAGGCACCTGGAATCCCGAGAGCCCCTTTGAAGTCTGCCCTGCACTGTGTGTGCTTCTTACAAAATCTCCCTTGAAATGTACACATGGAATTTGGGACAGCCACTAAAGTCTCCTTCATACCTCCTTCCAGGGGGCAGAGATCTCAAAAGAAGTTGGACCCAAACAGAATGAGTCCAAAATCGTTTGCCTCTGTTGATAGCACACATCTGCCTCTCTTGTCCTTCTACATTCTTTTATGACCAAACATTGATCAGCTTGGAACAGCCAGAGTTAGGGCTCTGGACCAGTGATTGTTCTGTTATTCACCGACTTCTGAACTCTCCAACTCTCTTGCATGTAGTACGACATCGCTGGACACTCGGGAGATGGCTACAACATTAAGCTCGTTCCAGTTAACAAAATCCCCAAGAACAATAAGCAGAGACTAGAAATTCTGAAGGTAAATACATCGTTCCTTCTACATTGTAAGAATTTCTATCAGATTAGATAAAAATCTAGGATTCACTGAAGTAGCAACAGATATCTCAAGCAACAAATAGAAACCACCTTTCTTGCTTAAAACCCTGCTTCTGCCATCTAAAGTTAAATGTTCCCTGTATGTTTTCAGAGTACTCATTGTTTTATCTGATTTGAACATCTGGGATTAGAATTCCATAGTCACACGGGCTCAGTAGAAAGGGAAAAAATGGCCCTTTTAGGGCACTCTGTATTTCAAATTTTATATTTCTGTTGATAATTTTGGGTAATAAATTCAGTCTCACATACTTAAAACTGCAGTAGACACCATGATCTTAAAACAGATTTCCCCCTTTGCCACCGGAAACAGTTCAGCAGCTGATTAACTTGTTTAATGGAAATTCAGCTGTCCCTTATTTTCCTCCTACATCGTGCCCCTCTTCCAGATGATACCAGTTACATATTTTCTTACTTTAACTAGAAGGGTGAGTTGTAAAAGTGTCAGTTGGGAACATTTGGGAGCATTGCCCGTTTCTAAGGAAAGTCAACCTCATACAACTGTCCTGTGCCCTGTTGACTCTCAGTACGTAATCATCATGTTTATTGAAAAGGAATTGCTCACCTGTGGTTTCTGTGCCCAACTCTTACCTCCAGACAATGCATGCCCACTCTCAGTTCTGCATGAGTGGGGACCACACACTCGAGGGGACGGAACACGCCATCAAGGACATTACCACAGAAGAAGCCGATGAGTACTTTGTCATCATCTTAAGTGATGCAAATCTGTCCCGATATGGAATAAACCCAGCCCGCTTTGCCCAGATCCTGACGATCGATCCTCAAGTAAATGCCTTTGCCATTTTTATCGGCTCTTTGGGGGATCAGGCAGCCAGGTGAGTATTGCCGCAGCAGAGAGCAGATATAATAAATATCTGGTGTGTACTGTTTCTCGAACCTCATCCTGAGGGGATGGGGAGGGCAGGTGAAATGGTGTAGAATGTATCTACCTGAAGCAGCGAATGGCATACTTGGGCTCACAGTGCCCTGGCTTGTTTGGACAAGCACTCATAGTTTTGAAGGAACATAATGCTCTAGGACTTTTCAGACAAAAATTTATAATTTTAATTGTTTTTCCCACTAATAAATTAGACAGTATTTTATAGATTAAGTACTTTACAGAGACCTCCAAGCTTAATCTCATCAGATTATTTCAAATCATACTCAAAATTGTAACTATAGTTCAGTGGGGTAATAGTTCAGTGGACACTTGCCTAGCATGCAATTCCAACTATTGCCAAAAATAAAGGAAACCAACAATAGTCAATTCCCTAGCATAGCAGAAACTGTGCTCATCTGAATATAATGTGTGTGTGTCTGGTGTGTGTAAACAGACATCATCTCAAGCACCGTTTATCACTATGAAGAGACACTATGACCAAGGCAACTCTCATTACAAAAGCATTTCCTTGGGGCCTTGTGCACAGTGTCGTTGGGTTAACCTGTGCCCATCATGGTTGGCAGCAGACAGGTGTGGCACTGGAGCAGTAGGAGAGAGCTTTACATTCTGAGCTCCTGGCAGCAGGCAGAGAGACACACTGGGTCTGGCATGGAGTTTGTGATACTTCAAAGCCCATCCCCAGTGGCACACTTCCTCCAACAAGGCTACAACTCTTAATCCTTTCCACCAACTGAGGACCAAGCTTGAAAATATATGAGTCTATAGGGCCATCCTCATTCAAACTGCCACAGACATATAGAGACTTACATATGCATACAAATATATATATATATATATATCCATCCATAAATAAACTTCAGTAACTAGTATCAGTATATACTTAGATGTGTGTGTGTGTCTCACTAGAGAGACTGTAGGTGAAACACCTTGGACACAAAGGAAGACTATCTGTAAGTGTGTATGGATAGTTGTATGCTATAGTTATCACACTACATGATAACTGTAGGAATTTATAGCCAGACAATAAGTACCTCTGGGATTACCCAAAAGGAGAAGCCAGGAAATACTTTCCATAACTTAACCACACTAACAGAAAGCATTCACAGTTTTTCTCTGCCTAAAATACTCATAAAATGCAGAAAACACAACCGAAACTGTATCTCAGAAAAACCATCCTGTCTTATAAATGGAGGGCAGGTAGTCTCAGCCCCTCGGGTGCTGCAGCTTAGAGCAGCCTTGGCACCGTGGACTCCAGCTCACTTAGTGCAGCCCACAGCTCTCTCTCATGCAGCACTTCACATTTTCTGGAACCTTCCTGTCCTCAAAGCACCAGAGCTAGGCAGACGGCAAGCTCAGCAAATGCTGGCTGAGCTGAAGCGGGCATTTTTTTTTCCTTCTAGTGAACAGATCCTGTTGGAATACTTAAGAAAGCACAATAATACCCTTGTGGTTTCCTGGGGAAATGGTCCAACATTTTCTGGCAAAAAGACATGGTGCAGACTTAGCTGGTCTGCCCCGCACGCCAAATACATGATACTGCACAGAGTGCCTGACTTTTATTAAATGTCATTCCAAAACCAAACTTTGTTGGCACAATGAAAGGCGGCGTTCTTTTCAATACATCTGTGCCTTGCCATCTTACTGCCTTCAAAGATGGCCTTTTGTTCCAAATGATAAATTGACATTTTAAAAAAAAATTACCATAAGCCTGTTCAACCTCGGTTTTGTCAAGCAGCAGTTGGATAATGCAGATTACATTTCACCGTATGTGGTGGGGAGGAACCAGAGACCCACTTGGGGACTTGGCTGTATAGCCTATTGGAGGACTGTTTCTAAGAAAGGACTCAAAAAAAAAAAGTACAGCATGAGTCCAGATGCAGGTGAGCTAATTCCAGATGGGCCCTCGGGCACTGTCCTACTGAGGGACTAGAACACATCAGGAGATGATAGAACTTGAAAACCACTCGCATTCTCCCTGAAAAGCTCTTGCTTTCCCTGCCGCTCCCTGGTGCTTTCCCAGGCCCATCACTGCCTAGAGACAGACAATTCAGTTGCAGGTTAGGTATGAGAAAGTGGAAACATCCTTTCATAAGAACCCATTTGGATGCTGTGGAGGCCAGGCAGGGGCTGGAATGGAGCCTTGATTTGCAATAGTGATTTCCCTCCCTTCCCTTCCCTCTGACAGGCTTCAGAGAACTCTGCCAGCTGGCCGGTCCTTCATCGCTATGGACACCAAGAAGATCCCTCAGATTTTACAACAGATCTTTACCTCCACCATGTTGTCCAGTATCTAGGAAGCACCCTTCCCCATCCAAGGCTTGGATGCAAATAGAAGCAGAGAGAATTCTGAAAAGACAGCAACCACGCCAACCGTGGCGTGGCGGGACGCTTCTTTCCAGCAGCAAGGGGACTTGTGGATGGAAATGTACTCTGGATGGGTTGGAGGTCTGCAAAGGAAACAGGTTGACCTGCATTTCCTAAAAGGTCAGGGTTGAAGGATGCAAGCACAGGAACTGTAAGGCTTGGCAGAGTTCTAAACCCAAAGGATAAAAATCACCCACTGTTGCCTTAATATGTCATCTGCTGCCAGATGCCATACAGAGCCTTTGTTTGACACTGAGAGACAAGTCTACAAACCCACCCAACACGTTCCTGTCTACAGTTATTTCTACTTTCTCCCCAGTGTGTACTGCCCAGCAGATAACAATTTTACAGCATTCAACCTTACCTGGAAAGTATTTGGACAGCAGTACTTTATAAGGCATTGGATTCTCTCAATAGTTCCGATCACTTGACAGAAAGGAACCCAACAATTCTTAAGGTGCTTGCTGTCCCATGTGACTTTTATTTGCCCTGCTACCTGAGATGAAGGATAAAGATGTCCTTCCTCAGGTCCCCTGTGTTGAGCCATTTTTGATTCTCCAAAGCTCCACAGTGGATAGAGTATACTTCACCATCCAAATTACAGCGCCAAAAGTAGCAAATACTTATGTCTGACAAATTACCCAAAGTTCAAAGCACCATGTTTGACTGGGCATTAACTGGAGATTTGTTTCGATTTAACTAAAGCAAAGAATACTTTTCAGCCAAATTCTCTTGTCTTTCAAAGTATTTAAAATCTCACAACCCAACAGAACTGTCTCTCGAACCATCTAATGAAACGCTGCTCTTCACAGCTGACAGTGAAGTCAGTGCTGGGGCACCGTGTGTGCTTACTTAGCGTAAGCTAGAAAACTAACCCTGTGGTGATGTTACCCTAGCCATGCACACTGTCATCATACATTTCATTTGAATGAAAACTCATTTCATTTAGTTATAGGACAGAGAAAATGTTCCCCAGCTCTTCCAGTCCCCCATCTCCTGTCACCCCATCACTGTCAAATAAAAGCAGTCGCTTCCCAACATGGTGTCGCCACCCAATGAGTGAGTGTGGTTTGTATTTCTAGTCACCTGCTTGTTCCAGATGCTCAATTATCCCAAAATGCACAGTTCCAACTCACAAGTGCCTTCCAAATGTAATCACATGACTAACTCCCACCACTCCCGTTTGCTGATGGTTTACTGCACAGCAGGAACATGCTAAATGGTTCTGTGCATTGTGTCAGTTCCGTTCTCACCGCCTGTAAGATGAGCACTTTTTACTGATAAAGTGCTTGATACTCAGAAAACTCATCGCTTCTTCTCACAAGATTTCTGACCACAGACTTTTGATCATCCACTGAATTATTAGCATTACTTTACAAATGAAGACATGAAGCCTTAGAGACAGACATCCACAGTCAGGCAGGTGGGCAAGGCCAGCGGCTCCTGCTCACCCCAAGAGCGCCTGCATGAGCCCCTCACCCACACTGCACATGGCTGCCCCCTGCCTCCTCGGAGGCTCCCACTGCCTCCTCCCTCTCTCCTCTTCTTGCAGACTGTCTTTGCGTCATAGAGCCGCCTTCCACAAATTCTATCTGTGTGCTTCCAGGTCCTCGGAGGTATGGGACTGGAGCATGGGACACTTCTGGGAAGAATCTTGAAACAGGCCTTTCTTCCTGGGTACATCAGTGAACTGCAGAAACACCCCTCAAAGGGCACCTTAGCCCCAAGGACACTGACCACGGCAGCCTTTAGAAGTAGCATTCACAAGTAGCTCAAGAAGTGGCCTGAGTACACAAAGTGATTCTTTTTAAACTCAGAAGGAATGTTTCCCAGTAATTTAGTTTCCCTGCCCCGCTAGCCAGACATCCTTTGCAATTGTTGTTTGAAAGAGAAAATAGACTTCTGTGTTTTCTTATTTAAAAGGGGGATGATGGTGAGGGAGGGGAACACAGGTTTTTTCTTTTTTTTTCTTTTTTTTTTTTTTTTACTTCTTACACTACCTAAGAAGTGTGTGTGTTTATTATTAAATGTACTTAATTATAGGCCACTGGGAGCTGTTCCCAGGCCCTCATTAGACCCAGGACATAATAATAACCGCACTGTGTGCCCGTGGGGTGTGCACTGAAAGACATCTAACCCGCGTCTCTCTTGCAAGTAAATGAAACGCTGAGAAGGTTCATTGTTAGTCCTCAGCGGCCAGGAGGACCTCGGGCTGTGAATAGCCGCAGTATGTGATGTATGTTCCCCCTGGAATCCTTTGTGCCCCCAATAAGATGACCTCATCGCAGATGGGGCGGCTTGAGCGCAGCCACAGAGTGGGTCAGACCGGGAGGATTTGAAGGGAGTGTCAGATGTCCGGAATGAATCACTTAATTCTTTACCCCCCTTTCTTGGGAACCCTCCAAGGAGGAGAAATTCCTCAGTGCCTGGAGGATTCTCTCTAAACTGATCCTGAGGCTTTGAAGGCCCATTACTGGGTTTCTGAGCGCAACCTAATCAGAGGCCAACGCCCGAGTCTGCCCTCCCAGCACCTGGCTCCTTCCTAGGCCTGCCAGGTCAGCCAACAAGAAATTCCTCAGTGATCCCAGCACAGAGATGCAGAGAGAGGGAAACAGAAAATGGTTGCTTTATCCTTCATCTGTGTTTGCTTCCAACAAAGGCAGTAGAAGAGAAACCCCCCGACTTCTAAGCCTCTCCCCTTACTTGGGCAACCTGTTCTGAAACCACATCTCTGGAGTGATTAAAATCCAACCAATAATATATACAGCAGAAAAATACTTAGATGGACAGGGATGTGTAGTAAAGATCTTACCTACTGCCTTGAGCTGCTAACATTTGCTCTGGCAGAACTACTAAAATTCCAATTTTCCACTGGTAGTAGGGAGAATTTATAACTCTAGTTAGAACTACTCTGTGAAGAGGTTCTTAACTATAAGGCATTTGAACTAAGCCAATGCCTTATAATGTTTGAAGAAAAAAATTTCTAAAGCTACAGTTTTGTGTTCATGTAACTTATTTACACAGTGAGGTGACTTGTTCTGGTTTCTTATAACAGCCACATCACTTCAGTGTAACCTACAAGCATATTCCACACATAGTAGCCTGTCTCCCAGCACTTGTATCAACTACCCCTTCATAGTGCTGCTGACTGAATGTGAATACTCTCTTACACGAGTGTCACTAACATGACACAAGAAGGATCTTTCCTTCTGTTGTCTCCAGCTTTGCACAGTAAAAGTGCATGTGTGCTCATCTGCACGAGAGTCAAGAGGATCAAGGGTTGGAAAGCTACTGTAAATGCAAGAGCTGACCCTAGCTCAACAATGCCCAAGTGTGTGTATGCACATGTGCGTGTGCATGTTGAATCCTGCAAACACAGTCTGTTCCAGAGGGGTGTGCAAGTCTAACACTTCCGATGGAAAAGCAGTCTGAGCACTGTCTGAGGCTTCAACCTTAAAATGCAGACAAGTGCATCATGCGCTGCCCTTTGGAGTGTCAGGGTTAGGTAACTTTGAACCTGAGTACTGCTTGTGGTATTTGGGCCATTCAGATCAAAATACAGCACTCTCAAAGTGGTTCAGATCCTGGAGGTGGTGAGAACACCATATTCTGCTTCAAGAAATCTAATCAAGGGGATGTGAGCCACTTTGTAAGGTTGTTCCTCCTCCTGTGGCCCACAGGTAGCAGACACCACAGGTTTCGGAGTAGTTAGAGTGTGTCCAGATAAACTCGGACTCTGAAGACAGTGGTGTGGCCACAGAGGAGTCTCAGAACATAAGGACTTATTGAAATCAAACCCAGATGAGGCAGTAGTAATAGTAGCTGACATGACCCAGAACTGACAGGGAACAATGGCTCTGAGCGTCACGGGGCAGGTGTGCTCTTTCTGTAGGTCTGAAGACAGCCACGTGAACCTGATGGGATGCTTCAAGTGGCTGGTCTCATGACACCAGGCCATGCGCGGAGCCTTTCCGCCTTAAACTTAAGGAAAAAGGTATGTTTACCCAGAGGATATTAAAATTGGACTTCCTCACGCTGGGATGTCTGCATTCATAAATGCAGATGGTGATTTCATGACACTGCCAGTTTCCTTATTCTACACTAGAAACTCTTCTATGGTGTGAACTCCAGAAACAGTGAATCTCAACAAGACTGGTTGGTCCATGTCCTTTTATAAAAATTGCATAGCCCACATGAAACTGAGCCCTAGGAAAAAGAACACCATGAGCACCTCTGCGCCATCCTGACAGAAACTACATGGCAAAGCTGGGAACTAGCCTGGTTGGACAGCCTTGGACTTACCGTGGCCTGTGGGTGACTCTCACAGAGCCTGCCACTCCTGGGGAAACTGAGGAAACTGCATTCAGGCCAGGGAGCTAAGAATCCAGAAACCCACACAGATACAAACACACACACACAAGATGGTAAGTACAGAAGGCAAGAAGGTCAGTTAACATACACACCTGATTGATGGATTACTAAGCTTACTATGAAGTTGACAGAGAAGCGGTCCCTATTAGGCGGATTTCCTTTAGTGTTCTGAGAGTTTTGTTGAACAACTCCATTCAAGGCTGATGGGTGTAAGCAAGCACATTCATTACAGGCTCTCGTACAAAGATTTGGTACCAAATGTGGAACGCTAGCACTAAAGAAGCTTTCTCCTGTGACCTTTCTTAGACACTGGAGGAGAAGGACAGGCCCTGGGCGGCAAAGGCAGAGGACTAACAGCTCCTCAGGCCGCCTGAAAGCAGACATTCAGTTGCTTGGCTGGATTACAACTCCACACAGCTGGCCTGGCTCTGTGCCCCAGCGTCTGAAGTCTATCCTCAGAATGGCGAATCTCAGTGAGAAGGGATGCTCTGTCATAATACAGATCCCCTGAATGGCCATCCATCATACACATCTTGCTTGGAATCCTTTTGTCCACATGCTCTCCCCTAAGAACAGCTGGGGTGAATTGAAAGCCCCCGAGGCAGAGGAACTGTGGTTGGGGTGAGTACAGAAGGGGCTGTATTTGTTATTCTTGTGTTACGGTGACCAAATACCAGACAGAAACAGTTTAGCAGAGGAAAGGTGGATCTGGACTCATGGTTCCAGGGAATTTCAGTCCACCCTGATAGATCAGTCCAGACAATAGCCCCAGGATAGTGTGGCAGACCAGGAAGCAGAGACAGCAGGAATCAGGCAGGGCAGAACCTCCGGGACACATTAGATTGTCAAGGAGAAAAGCCAAAGTGGTTTCAGGTGGGGGAAAGACATTATAACTTTACATTTGTAAGTACTCGGATGGTGGTGATGACGGGAAGGAGGTAGCTGACTGAGCACAGAAAAGGAGAGGAAAAGTTAACTATTTCTGCATGCATGAGGGATATGTGTGTGTCTATACAGGCCTCGGGGAGGGCTGTAGGGCACAGGTCAGTGAGTCAATGGCATGTATCTTCTTTCATTGTTCCCTTTGGCTTTTGAACAGATTCTCTTACTGGAATCAGTGCTCAAAGATGAGTTGGACTCTAGGGCCAGTCAGCACCAGTCTCTACCTCCACCACTGGGTTTATACAGGTATGCCACCATGTCTGGCTTTTTGCACAGATGCTGGGGTAAACGCATGTCCTCTTACTTGCTTGCATGCTGCCCAATGTGCCACTTCCACAGCCCAGGAACTAGTTTTTTAAGCTGATGTTAATTTTTTGGAGCCAGCTAATCTTTAATTGTTAAGAAACTGTCATAAAACCATGTTTTTGTAGAGGCCAGTTAGACTCTTCCAAAAAAACTTCCTAGTGAGTCAGATATGACGGCAGATGCCCAAGATTCCCTAGGCAGAAGAATCATGAACTCAAGGTTAGCTCTGGCTATGTAGTTCCAGGTCACCCTGCGCTCTGAAGCAAACCCCCGTTTCAATAAGACAGCAGCCAAGCTCAATAAATAAAACAAAACAAAATGGTGGTAGACTATGCTCAAAATATAAGATACACTTGTATGAAAATGTCCTTATGTAACACAGTACCATGTATAATGAATATTCACAATGAAAATTTAAAACACGAAACGCAG